TTTGAAGAGCCAATCTTTTAATTTTTCCTTAAATGTTTTCCTTTTTTTGTCGTTTTTCAAAAAAGTATACTGGGAAAACGAAAATAACTAACGAAATCCCTTAAGTTGTTTTTACCCTCTTCTAACATCTTAAAATACATTTTTATCCTTGATAACGAATTAAAATTTTATTGAAAGTATTTTCAATTTTAACTACTTAACATGCCATAACTATTTTGATTTGAAGGGAATTCTTTCACTTGCTTGAATGTTAAATGCAAACTAAACAAAAATAAAAGGAAAATAATGGCAAGAGGCAAAGCAAACAAAACATCATTCAATCAATTTGTATAGGTTGTAAATCAGTGAATTACACAAAATGAACTCATTTCCATATGAAACGGCAATCATAAAAAGTAAATTGAAAATAGTATGATGAAAATTTCCTCTTATTCAAGAAATTGCTTACATAGGCTATACTGTTAAGTTATGATTTAAAATAACTTTGTAGATCTGAGCGACATCGGACATATTTTGATAGAATACAAACAAAAGCTTTAATTTCCTTTTTACAAGTATGGAATTCTTGAATTAGATATTTTTTTTTCAATGCAAGAAACATTAATCGAAAGTTAATGGGAATTTTAAGTTTCAATTAGGTTTCAGATGGTACAAAATTATTATGGATAAAGCTTAAATCATCAAACGTTCAATTTAAAACACTTAGTATTTATGTATATATTTTTTTTTCTGGTTAAATAAAATTTCTTTGATTGGCTTAAAATAACTTAAACTATGAACAATTTTGTAATAAACTTGCTTATAATATCCTAAAAATATGCAAGATTTCACATTGACAGATAAAAACGGGAGTTGATTATTACACATACATAGTTCACACTGACACATAAACTGTCACATCCGTGTAAACTGAACTCGAAAACCAATATTTAAGCTTACATCAAATTTTCACAAATTGTTTGTAATAGTAAATACCAATATTTTGTGTAATTTTATAGACCCTATTTAACTTGACTATATTTCGGAAAAATATTGTTCTTCTGTAATAATTAGTACTGTTAATAAAACTTCGTAGAAGCGAGTAAAGCAGCAAAATTTTACCACCATTTTTACACAAAATAATGTGTCAGTTTTCATTATAGCTACCATACACTATATTGGGACTACATAATATTGAAATTTTATACAACAGTAAGTTAAATAATAGAGTTGTTAATTTGCAATACAGGTAACTTTAATAGCAGTTTCAGCAAAACTAAGTAAATATTAAAGCTACATTAATGGTAGTTCTGACGCAAAATTGTTGCATTAGAAACCACAGAGTTGACACGGTCAACTATACATATTTTAGTTTTATTGTAAAATTTAATGAAATTTTGAAAATACAAAAAATTATTTTTGTTTTGCGTTTTTATGATCTTTATATCCACTGGTTGTGTCTTCTTATTTTAGTTTTCATATTATTATTACTTTTGTTGGATATGTACACTTACACATACATAAATATATATTCTTATATTTGTGCATATTTATGCTCATATAATATATGTAATGTATAAGGATCCTTTAAGTTGATCCATTAATTTTATTATTTTATTCCTTTTTGTGGTTGTAAATCTTAAGGGCGAAAATTATGGTGCTTTATCTTATTCTTGCTGTATGCATCAAAGAAATGAAGATTATTTTCTACTTTTTTTTTCTTCATCTTTTATAACCTATATATTTAAAAATTTTATTAAGGTTGAATAAGTTAAGGTTGACTTTATTTTGCTTGTCTGTTAATACAAATTTTAAGAGTATCATACTTTTATTTTTTTGAGGTTTCATAAAAAAAAAACAAACTTTTAAACTGAAGAAATAAATTTTTTGATTTTACTTTTATTTAAAATATATCAACTATACTCACATACAATGAAATTTTAATACTTATACGTACAGAATTATAGGATGTATGAGGGGCATACGGACCCGAAAGCGGAAAATGATTTTAACTTGATAGAAAATTTTTCCTGTACAACCAATAAAATAAATTATTTTATAATATCAGTCAGTATACCTTGAGGATATATTGGAAATCTAATAAGATTACTTGAAAAACTATGAACCATATTTTAATGCAATTGGATGATATGGTTATGGTATTTTTAGCAACAAGTTTTTTATTTTATTTTCTTGCAGCAAAATTTGCAAATTTATTTTATAGCTTAATAGCTATATTGGAATTTCTGAGTATGGATTAATGTTGATATGTTTATAAAACAAAATATTTGTGTAAATGAATTGCTCTCGTATGATTTAAAGAGATATGCATAATATAGCAACCTAATTAGAAATAATAACTATAAACATGTAAGCGTATCGAAGCACTCAAAATTAACTTGAAAGAAAATTGAATTTTAATTAAACTCGAGAAAATAAGAAAATTTAAGAATCTTAACAAAATATATTGCAAACGAGATTTTTCTAGGAAAACTTTTTAAACAGATTTTTTTTATTTTTTATAAATTCCAATTATAATGAAGCATTAAAAAAGGATTTCAGAAGATAATTTCGTCTTCTAAAGAAAATAATTTTGATAGCAAAAAATTTTTACATACTTGTATATTTTAATTTTTTTTCTAATCTTAAGCATAGTGATTATAAGAAGGATTAAATCGTTCTGCAAAAAATGTTGTGTAACATATAAGCAAGGGTTGCTGTAAATTTATAATTATTATATTTTAGGTTGTCACTTTTCTAGCTTGGTAGCTCCAAATTTCTTGGAATGGAATTGGAGAACAATTATAATATTTAGTAATTTTATATTTTTATTAATTTTCCGGATTCACACACATAATTGCAGAAATTTTTCCATGAATATAGCAAATAAAATTAAAAATCAATATATTTAAAAATTTAACTATCTTTAAGCCTCCATCTTTACCAAAAACATTTTACGAGTTTATTTTGCCGGCTGATGGGAAAACATAGGTTTTGTCAGCGTTTTGTTTGTTTCCCAAGTTATCCACCAAAATCTATCTTAGGTCGTTGTCTTTTCTAGCAAAAAATTAGTTCTAGTATTTGACTTTTGTATATTATCATTTTTGAATATTACTTTCGTATATTATCATTTATAGGTAAACTATATATATATAAACAAATAAATTTGAATTTTTTTATACAATCTCGCAATAAATTGAATTCCAATTTTTCAAAAATTTCAATTTTTTTCAAAAAAAATTGTGTATAGATACACATACATATATAACTTTGAATTAAACTCCCCAAATTGAATAAACAATTTATATTATTAAATTATTAGAAACAGACATCAATTTAATACGAACACGGTATTAAGAGTGCAGGTTACCCTTAAGTAATTCAATGTCATTGAAATATTTGACCAAAAGTGATCAAGTATTCTTACTCCTTATATACATACAATTAATCCGATTATAATTCGTTTCTATAGCTAGAAATATTCTTATAATTTTATTCAAGGTAGAGAATTTCCTCGAATATGTATAAAATGTTATTGTTTTACACTCATATGAGAAATTCCTATATACATACGTATTATACCTACAAAAATATTATATGTATGTATGTATAAAATATTTTATTTGAAAATTGAAGGCAAAGTTCATATAGAATACAAAATAATTTACACCTTGGGGGTAAAAAATAAAACTGAGAGTAAAAATAAAGAAAAAAAAAATAGAAAAAAATTCTTAAAAAAAAAATTGAAATTTTTTTATATATTTTCACATACACATGTACCCATGTAAGCATGTCACTAAAGTCAAATTTATATAGCATACTATATATGAAAATAAAATGAAAAACTTGAAGCTTAAAAAATAAAATATGGCACCCAAGTATGTTAAGTAATAGAATAAAAAGTTCAATGTGTTATTTACATTGTTTTATTTAAAAAAAAAATAGATAAATTGATACAGGCTGTCTATAGATGCATACATATATGTACGTACATAATATTGATATACAAGGTGGACGATTCTTTTCTCATTTAATTTACACAGATTGATTGATATATTTTTAGATATTTTGCCATACGTTTTAATATAGTGAATCCAATCAATAATGTGCAGTTCTATATGAACTCAAATAATGTACATGAGACCTGACATTGTATATAAAATTGACATTAAAGAAAATTGATTTCTTACAAAAAATATTCCTTTTATCTTGTATACATACATGCTCATTATAATTTGACCTATTTTTGTAACATAAAAGAAACAGAAGTAAAAGTTACACCCTCATATTTAAAGATTCTATAAATATGACTGCATTTAAAAACTATTTGATCAAAATTACTAAAAAATTAGTCTTTAAAATTATTTGTTCAAAAAAATGTAATGTTAAACTTTAAGTCGATTTTTTAACTTAACGATTACAACAGTCCTAGACTCTAGTTTAAATTTAGTACTCATACAGGTTATACGAAAAATATGCGCTCATTAACGTGAAATAGAAGGAGGAAATTTAAACGAGATTTTTTTTAACGAAAATTAAAGTCAAATTTAAACCTGGACAATGGTGCAGCGGTTATTGTCAATTAAAAAAAGGATGAAAAACTATGAAATAATTGCCTTAAGATTTTAAATTTCTTTTACAAATTTAAAAATTTAAAATTTAATAATTATAATAAATTTAAGGAGGCGTTAAAATCATAATAATTAAAGAGGTAAGTGGACAAAGGGGTTAACTAGCATTTTGCCGGATGAACATTTTTTCGGATAGAACATCATTAAATTTCATATATTTTCAACTGTGATTACTCTTATAGCTAGAAACTTAATAGAAGACAAGATTGACAGAGCACATAGGAAATAAGTAACAAAAAAATTAATAGTTTTACAATTTGTTAATAAAAAAAAGTGTCAGAATGAAAATGTAAGTTAACCCCTTTGTCCACTTATCATTTTATTGTTCTTGAATTTAAAATTCAAATGAAAATTAAATAATATATTAAATAAAATTTTGTTTGTACTTACGTGTCCCATCGAAACGTGTTGCTATAGTATCCAAAAATGTATTTTGGGGCGCAAGCAGCCCCTTTCGGGCTGGCATTGGATTTGAAGGTCTTTTATAACGTTTTGCTTTACGATGTGTATCTGAAATTGAAAATTTTAAAATTATAAAAATTTTTATTTTCCTCAATATTAAAATCTTTATTCTTTTAATTATTTTCTATAATGCGCGCTCTGTATTATAAATAAAATGAAAATTATATTTTCTTTTGTATGAAATTTATAATTAAATTGATTTGCAACAATTATTGTTAAATTTTTCATCTTTGTTTATATTTTTTTCCATTTTAATATCATGCAGAGAACCACAGTCATTGCTAATATAAAAATTTCAAATATTTTTTTTGCAATATGTTAAAGCGGGTTTTTTTTTCATGTATGTACATTTACTGAATAAAATTGTGTAGCTGGATGTAGAATTTTCTATATAGTTTATAAATTTAATTAAAAGTGACGCACTCTTTTTTCATATTATTATTTTTTCACTTTCAAATTGATTTATTCTCGCATTTAATATATTAAAGATAACAGATAAATTTAAAATAAATTATAGAAAATTTTAAATCAAATGATTTATAAATTTTTTCTTTTGATTTTAAATTGAATTTGAAATATTGCTATTCAATTATTGTTCTTTCGCTTATTTTTAACAGAAAATAATTTCTCCTACAAATTTATTTATAATAAATTTTTGAATTTTCAGAATTTTTAGAACTACATTTTAAATTTTTTATATGCAGCAATAATTCATATTTTAAAAATATTAATTACCTTTCACGGAAATTTTGGACATAATATGTTCAAAATTTGAAAGCTTTTCAAAGATTTGTAAATTTGATTATAAAAATAATAGTTTAACAATAGAAATTTATTGTTGTTCAAACTAGCGTATCACTTTAAAAACTAAAAATAGTGAAATTTGTTTGATTAAATTATTTCGTTTAATATATTTATTCAATAATTATTTTAATTTCAGATGTTATTCAAAAAAAAATTTACAATTTAATGATTAATATAATTGGGTGTCATGTACATTGTATATAGTTGTACTCACAAGTTATTTATAGTAGTAATATTAATAAATAAGTTAAAAAATTTAGAATGATTAATTCTCACCTATTTTAAACTGATTAAATTTTGTGAAAAAGTGAAAAAACAAAATTTACAGAAAAAAAATATTTTCATCTTAGTAATATCTTGTTAAATAATAATAATGTTAAAAAAAATCGTGAATAATAAAAATGATGTTGTCTGCCCTTACAGACCACATTGTTTACTTTCTGAAGAATAATTATTTAAAAATTTCAATTAATCTATTAATTTTAGTTTAGTTGAAGCGCTATCGAACTGGTCTTTATGCACTAATAAGTAAAATAAGTAATAAGGAAAATAAGTAATCCTCTATAGAATTTTTCTGGGTTATGGGCAAATATGTAATATGTGAGTATAAGAATGAGCCACCCGAATTTCTTACATTACCTACTTTTAAGGAGCAATGACATTTTCAACTGTCTTTATTGATTATTTTGTTTTGACAAAATAATACATTTGTATGGAATTTGTATGGATATTATCTATGATTCAGGTCTTAAAATTTTTTAAAAAAAGTTTTCCAAAATGATTAGTCGCATGCTGCCCATGCACCGCACTTTCCCGACGGCTGCTCTATAGCTAATATACATCGAAAAATGTAAATTCCGCTCTTATAGTGGAGTTTAATTTTCTGGGATTCAATTTAACTAAAATATTTTTCGAACATAACTGTTCGAAAATATTTTAGTTAAATTAAATCTGTTTTTCTTGAAAAACTTTGTGAGCGTGATAAATTTCGAAAACAACCTTTAATTATTTTCAATGAGATAGTCAAAATTGCACAAAGTCACATTAAATTCGAAACCCTGATAATGATGACAAAAATTTGATGCTTCATTGTTTTTAATAGATATTAAAAATTTATATAAAAAAAATATAACAGTTTCAGAATTTTGGTAAGTATGTTTCTTTTAAACACAAAATTTATTGGTATGGTTTACTTTATACGTACATTAATCTCTTAGTTTCCGTAAGAGAGGTCATAGAGTAGCCCTTCCCTATATTTGTTTTTACTTAAATCAAATAAACAATAATTGTACAAAAACTCAAATTAGTTTATTAAAACACTTACTTTTTTCATCTGCACAACTATTTATGTATGTATTAGTATATATATACAAAAATTCATTTACATGGAAAACCAAATGAAAATTATGAGAAAATTGTTTGATCGTGCGTTATCAACCGATTAAAACACAAGTAATATGCAAATTCTATTTTTAGTAATTCATAAGCGATTAAAATATATTTTTCTTTGTTCTAAATTACGTTGGCGTTTCAATCTATATTCAGAATTGTTTTCGTGTCCTCAAATTGCAATTATATGCAATTTTGTACGACAATATAACAATAAAACTAAATTGTCCCATCCAAAATTTTTATATACAAAAGGCTTTTGTCACACATTCATACTTTTACATTGCAAAATTTTATAAAAACGAAAATCTAATGTGAACCAAAAAATTTTTGAAAAAAGTGCTTATTAATTTCACTCTGTCCGTCCGTCTGTTTACAAAACTTCTACACCCTTGAAGATAGAAAGCTGAAATTTTATACGAAAATAGATTTTTACTAGAAACCCTTTTCCGTAGAACAAAATTTTCAGCTATCTCCCCTTCTCTAAAAGTTATACCCCCTAAAACCCTAAAAACGGCAGTTTTTACTATTTTGCTATTTATTGCAATGAAGTCAAATAGAAGAAAAATAGTAGCTAGCTTCTTCTATCGCGGCATACCATTTCTGAACTTTAAAAAAACAAAATAGCGTTTAAAATTTTTCATGCCGTTGTTCTTCTAAACCGTACGTTACAGGTTTATTCATAAATAGTTTATTTCGTTGGAAGAAAATTCTTTCCCATCTCCACCCGCTCTCAAGTTATCACCTCTCGAAATTTGTAAAATTTTAATATTTGGCACATATTTGGTAAAGCTAACGGTAAATTCCGTGCCATTTAAAAATAGAATTATTTTGCTTAATTCTCACAATTAACCCTTAAAAGCGAGCATCATGTGAATCCTTCTTTAAATTTGTAAACCATTCATTCTAAATGTATGCAAACCTAGAAATAGTTTCGTACATAAATGAAAAGAATTTTAATAGTGTGGTAGGTATACATAGAATATATTAATTAAAAGCAGTATCTTCATTTGTTGAAGGGTAAAGTGCTACAGTACAAACCATTGGTTTGACCAAACATTATTTAAAAGTAGTTTGCCAATTAAGGGTTAATGAAAACATTTTTTATAAATATTTTGAATTTTTTTTTTAATCTACAATAAATTTTTTAAGTAAATCAAATTTTTCTTAATATATACTAAATTTAATTTTACATTTTGCTTGATTATTATATTTATGGGTCTATGAATTTATATTAAAGATATTAAGATTTTTGTTTATATGAATTTTCATTATTTAAATTTTTTTCTACTAAATAGTTGTACCTACTTCCGTTTAATAAAATTATATAATATAAAAATTCTAAATATAAACTAAATATTTATGTATTTTATTGATTACATAGTATTATGAAGATATCAAGGTGATTTTTTAATTAGTGTTTATATACAAGCGATTTATATTTAGAAATTATTTTCTAAAAATAAAAATATATTAGCAATATAGCACATTAAAATGCGTTGGTGGGCTTTTAAATGGGTGTTGATACTCGTATACATTAGTCCTCAAAATACTCTAATATTCTCTATATACTTATGTGTATTATACACGAAAAGTTTTAAAGTATTTATGAATATTAGTGATAAGAATGAAAAACTGATAAAGCAATATGAATCATTAGTTTAATTTAGTCAGAAATATACATTAATATAAAATGTTGTAACATGCAACGAATATTCAAATTAACATCGATATATTCCAATATGTAAATGAAGATAACAGTGAAAAAAAATCTATAATTTGATTTCGAAAAATAACATGCTTTAAAATAAATTACATAATTTAATTTTTTGTTGTTTCTTCTATTAAATTACTTATGTGAATATTATATAGTGTTCCTGAGCTATACTCCCAGACATACTTGATTGTTCCTTTTCATGTTAATAAGAATATATTGACAACAACTTTTTATGATGGTTGAAATACTCAATCGTTTGAATGTTTTTCCCACAGTACCTATTTTAGTATGAACTTATGTCTCCCACAATATAAGTGAAGTGATCTTAGAAATTCAAAGTACACTTTACATTTTAAATATTTTTAAGTTAATATTTTTACAAATTTTGTTAATAAACCTGTAAAAATTAAGAATTGCATAGATTTTGTTTGTTAATATAAAAATGTTTATGTCTCTTTAACCTTTTAACAAGGTACACCTTGTAGCAATTTAAAAATGGCGTCAAATCTTTTACGTTTAATTTTAGCCCTTTTGTAAAAAAAAATTTGGAAAAATGTGCTAATTAATTTGACTTTATCACACCATCAGTCTGTTTGTGTGTCTGTTTATAATTTTCTACACTCTTTAAGACTACCAGCAAAATTTTAACATAAATAGGTCCCTACTAGAAACTTATTTCTGTAGAGAAAATTTCTACTTATCTCCCACCATCTGAGAGTTATATTCTCTCAAAGTACTCAGAATGCCATTGTTTGATTATTTATTGTATCGAAATCAGAAACATTTTTTAAATTCTGCTAACGCAGAAAAGTATTAACTGGCTTCTTCAACAGCGATGTAGTATAGCCAAATAATAAAATAACAAAATGCCCGTTCAAATTAACCGTTATCTGAAACACTTTTTCTTTTCGAGTTTTTGATATTGTTTTTCTTCTGATAGTGTGTTGTAAGGGTTTGAAATTTTTGGAGCTGTTAGAAAATAATAATTAAATAGTTTATTTGGAAAAGAAGAAAATTTTTCTTCTCCTCCATCCCTTCCCGAGTATTCTCGAAATATGTAAAATTAGAATTTTCGTTACCTTATATTTCCGAAAATAAAAGTTTTTCCAAATTTCTGTAAAAGCAAAACCTAACGGAA